TTATTGAAATTTGACAGAAATGACGCCGCTTTCTCTCTCTTGTCCCCAACTAAGGATACCCTGCCCTCTTTTTTTGAAAAAAACTTTCTATTTTGAGCTGAACAAAGTCTAATGCAGAGGAAAGTCTAGGCTACAGAGTGAAACTACTCCCAGCTCTCCACGACCTGTATGAAGTTTTTCCTTCAAAGCCTAAAAAATCTCAATGTCTTAGTTTCGTAAATTTTTCTCTTCTTTCTTATATAATCAAAGCTTTTTCTTATAGATAATCCGATAGAAGAAAGTGTGTTCTTCAAAACGAGATGTCTTGCAGAGTTTTGCGATGAGTTTTCATGGAGATATAAGCATCACTGCAAATATCCTGAAAAAAACAGAGCTTGTGTACAATGTGTTATTCTCACTATGCGTTTTTTCGCTAGTCCCTTCAATCTAGTCACATTACGATCCCTCGAAAGTAATAATAAGAATAAGGTCTAAAGTATCTGTGGCCCAAATCTGTGCCCGATCGGACCAGTTTTTCGAGGGGTCGTAATGTGACTGGATGAAAACTGGAGTTTTCCGGAAAACCCATAGAATTACATCTCCGAAAATTGTGGGCGAGAATACATCAATTTTCTATCTGTGGTATAAATTCGAGCTCAGTCGGTGGTGTGGTCCGCATTTGGCAACAAGGTGAGAAAAGAGGGGAGGTACCCTTAAATGTTTTACAGTCTCATAATTATAAGCCCGGCCGGAGTTCCTCAAAAAAAATAGAAATTGCTTAGGAAAGTGTTTTCCATGTTACATAATCAACCATTTGTATCCAATCATCTTGAAATTGTCTCGGATTCAGCACTAATGAACAAAACAACATCAATACATATGAATTTCCCATCGGTAATCTCATCATAAATTTGTTGTTTAAATCTATGTCGTTCAGTGGTCTTAACTAATTCAAATTTATTGACTGACTACCAATATACATTGTAAATTTAATTGATCAAATAACTGCAAAATATTTTTCATTCCTTTAACTGTATGTATATCAATAACAAGTCGACGAGTGACACTCTTCCACAAACGAGTATATTTCTCTTCAAGACAGGTGAAGTTATCATTTCGTCCGGGACAATCTAGCATACTAAAGTCACTACTTCGATATCGTCTGATATTATCGTTTGAATATTCTAGATATACACATCCGAAATCTTCAAAGTCATATTCAGACTGACGAGGTACCAGAGCCTTGGCAAGTACGCTCTTCCCACACGATGTAGGCCCGAGCAATGCAGTTGTTCCTCGCATTCGCAATGATGTAATTTGACGTGCATGTCTGCTTTCATTACCTTCTCTAAATGACTCCCGTTCATCATTTACTGTTAATTCTGACAACTCATTTACCGTTCCAACAGCCTAATCTCCAATTCTAACTGAAGATTTTCTAATTGCCATGTCCACATTTCTTGCTCAATCATATCTCTTTCAAATATATTGACATTCTTTGACTTTTTTACGTTTCTTATAAAACTAAGTATATTTAAAATAATTGAAAAACATTTTTGTAAAATCATTGTACACAAGAAGCGAGCTTTCGATACTTCACAGTAACTGCACTGTTAACTAATTAGTATGTATATTCATCTCTCTTCTAAATTCACAGTCATATTAGCCTGATGATGATCTGTGAAGTATCGAAAGCTCGCTTCTTGTGTAAAATGATTTCACAAAAATGTTTTTCAATTATTTTACATATCTCTTTCAAATTGATACATGTCCCGCCTTCTAGACGGATGTCCGTTACCCATGATCATGTAGTATGCCGTTTATTCGTCGTCTTACGTCCGTTGACGAGTTTCAAGTGAATAACAAAAAATGAATCACAAAATTTGATTCAAGTAAATAATAAAATATATAATAATAATATAATAATTTATAATTAATTTTACACAGAATCGAACAATAAATGGTTTTCCTGAGGGAAAAGAAGTGAAGAGTAGTTTTTTTTGCTTTTATCGATGGAGAGAGAAGAACAGAGCAGTTGTGTGTGTGATGTGGGATTTCTGCAAGCTAAATAAGACGAAAAAAAACGAAATGTTGACTTGATTTCTCTGTCTCATATAATGAAAACAATGTAGTACAACAACTTCAGCATTTAAAACGCATTATATTCTTCATCTTATCTCTGCGATATTTCTCGGGCTTTATCAATTAAATTTCATATTCCTCAAAAACAAATTTTTAGTTTTGGTCCCGGTAAATTACTATGTTAAAACTGTCACAGCGGCACGCTTGGACAACCCGTTGAGTCATCCATCGAACTATAGGATGCTTCTGCAGTATAGTGCACTGCTGGGCCAACTTTCTTTGGTCTCGATTCCGAAAACATTTTACTTTTGGTCCCGATCCCACAGGATCAAAAACTGCACGTATAAAAGCACGAGATTCAAGTTTTTTCTCGTTCTCTCTTCTGACACGGTAAATAGAAGGCCAAAAAGAGCTCGCGAAACGAATGAAATGAAAAATCCATCTTGAAATATGTCTTATTATCTCTGCGATACTTCTGTGGCTTTATTGATTAAATTTGTAATTATACCATAGCAGAAACGAACAATTATTCGTTTCTGTTATAGTATAGAACAGTGGAAAAAATCCTATGTTAATCAAGGTTTTTTTCCAGGCAAAATAAAAGAGTGTAGATTATTTTTGTTTAATAATATAAATAAAAGAGAGTTGTCTTGAAATCTCCGTATTTTTTTACTTCACTCATCTCAGTCAGACGACTTTTTATTTTTCCTTATACACAAAATGGCTGCTATGACCTGGGTGGTAACGGTTGCCAGTTTGGCTGCAAATCTTCTTAACTCCTTACTTCAAAGAAGTGAGTATGTGGTTACTGTCATGATGAAAAAGAGAACTCGGGCGATTCTGTTCATTTGTCTCTTTTGTTAGACCCAACACCAGATCCAAATAATTCTTGATCGGATTTATCTCCGGTTCTTTTGGAAATGATGCGTTATCGTGATGAACATGCCCGGTTAATGAAAAGATATCTTGATTTACAATCAACGATGATAGAAAAAGAAATTATCTTCATTTAGCGATTTAGTTAAACATGATAAACAGAAAGCTGAGGTTTTAGTTGATTTAGCGGTCGAAACGGAAAAGCTGGAATTAGTCGGACTTAATATTGTTTTTTTTCGGGCAAACATCAACTGGTACGAGTACAATGATCAATTCAATGTTAGGAAAAGAAGTTGCAACAACAGGCTACGGTGAAACTACAATCAACGCAATGGCGTACAGTAGTGAAAACAGTAGATATACTTTGTGGGATACAAGGCTGTTCAAGAATGATATATAGTCACTAAAGATTCACACAGGAGGTCAAAGTTCAAATAGACGAAAAGAAAAATAATACGTTATGTCGTTTTTTTTTAACAATACCCATGCCGGGTAAGAATGACGATGTTTCCTACTTCACAATCAAGTATATATCATTCTGAAAAGGCCTTACACGACGAGCAATTGTTATACAGAATACAGTTAAGGAAATGACAAGTGTAACCCATCTTCTGGACGCCATTGATCTACGTTACGATTTTATCGTAAACAAATTCGACCAAGTTAAAGAACCACAATGTGAAGCATTTAAACAACAAATACAAAATGAAACGAAAACATGTAATTTGAAAAATGTTGACAATATTTGGTTTATTGCTGCGGAAAGTGTTCCAGAATTTGATTGGCTACAGATGATGAATGCATGGGTTCCGAACAATACACAGTAAGTGAGGCTAATGAAGAGATGCGGATAGGAAAGAACACATTTTGCGTGTGACACAATGAAAATTGTATAGACACATGCTCGTTCGCATAAGAAACTACTTCTTTTATTTTTTGTTTGAACATTTAGCACAAATATAACTTACTCAAGAAAAATCATTTTTTCCAACAAAGATGAGTTACTTTACCATTTAGTAAAAACCTAACTAACAGTCCTAGGATGCTTCTTTGAGGTACAAGATCGTCTCTAAACATAATGCTTTAGAAAAAAAAATATGTATTTCGTTTTATATACTGACAATTTGACCATGAACTGGTCAAATTGATGAGAACGGTATTTAACTTAAGCAACAAAATCTACGCATGGGACCGTTTACTAGAAGAACTGGAATCATTTTCACACAGTGGCCTGTTTCAGCTATCCAGTATTCTAGCAGTATTCGATGTTTAGCGTCATTTTTGACAGTGGTATAATGACCAGTACTCACGCATATGTCAACAACAACGATGACTACGAAGAATGTCTCTGCTCACACAATCATCATCAAAAAAATACAAAGCACCTAATTCTCCATATCCGTCTGTTTGCTGTTTCACTCAGTGACGTGATGTTAATGTTCTTCATTAAATTGATCTTTATCTAATGCTTGTTCAGTCTATTGTTGATGTTCGTCCTTTGTACCAATAAATAATGTATGTCCAATAATATTGATGTTTGTATACCGTATACCTACTCATCGCAGAATTTGTTTAATCATTATTGTTGAAAAACCAAAACCTTAATCCTTGTCAGACTTTCCTCTGCATTAGACTTTGTTCAGCTCAAAATAGAAAGTTTTTTTCAAAAAAAGAGGGCAGGGTATCCTTAGTTGGGGACAAGAGAGAGAAAGCGGCGTCATTTCTGTCAAATTTCAATAA